GCAGTCACGTGGCCATTGTGGGTGGGGGGAGTTTGTTGGTGTGAGAGCGAGTGGAGGGAGTGGATTGAGGTGCGGCGCGAGAGAGACACAGAGAGAAGGTGAGTGGTGGTGATGGTGGTGGTGGTGATGGTGGTGATGGTGGTGGTGATGGTGGTGGTGATGGTGGTGATGGTGGTGATGGTGGTGATGATGGTGATGATGATGGTGGTGATGGTGGTGATGATGGTGATGATGGTGATGATGATGGTGGTGATGGTGGTGATGGTGGTGATGATGGTGATGATGGGTGGTGATGGTGGTGATGGTGGTGGTGATGGTGGTGGTGATGGTGGTGATGGTGGTGATGATGGTGATGATGATGGTGGTGATGGTGGATGATGGTGATGATGGTGATGATGATGGTGGTGATGGTGGTGATGGTGGTGATGATGGTGATGATGGTGGTGGTGATGGTGGTGATGGTGGTGGTGATGGTGGTGGTGGGTGGTGATGGTGGTGATGATGGTGATGATGATGGTGGTGAGTGGTGATGATGGTGATGATGGTGATGATATGGTGGTGATGGTGGTGATGGTGGTGATGATGGTGATGATGGTGGTGGTGGTGATGGGGTGATGGTGGTGATGATGGTGATGATGGTGGTGGTGGTGGTGATGGTGATGATGGTGATGATGGTGATGATGGTGGTGGTGGTGATGGTGGTGATGATGGTGGTGATGGTGGTGATGATGGTGATGATGGTGGTGATGGTGGTGATGATGGTGATGATGGTGGTAGGTGGTGGTGATGATGGTGATGTGATGGTGATGATGGTGGTGTGGCTGATGGTGGGTGATGATGGTGGTGTGCGTGGTGGTGGTGATGATGGTGCTGATGCGTCGATGATGGTGGTGGTGGGTGATGATGGTGATGCTGGTGATGATGTGGTGGTGGTGGTGCTGATGGTGTGATGATGGTGGTGGTGATGGTGGTGGCGGGTGATGGTGGTGGCGGGTTTTGATGGCTGGTGGTGCTGGTGGTGGCGGTGATGGTGGTGCATGGTGGTGATGCTGGTGATGGTGGTTGAGGTTGAGGTGGAGGTGGTGGTGGGATGGTTGTGGTGGTGGTGTGATGGTGGTGGTGGAGGTGGTGGTGATGGTGGTGGTGGAGGTGCGTGGTGATGATGATGGTGGTGATGGTGGTGATGATGGTGATGATGGTGATGATGATGGTGGTGATGGTGGTGATGGTGGTGATGATGGTGATGATGGTGGTGGGTGGTGATGGTGGTGATGGTGGTGATGATGGTGATGATGGTGGTGGTGGTGGTGATGGTGATGATGGTGATGATGGTGATGATGGTGGTGGTGGTGATGGTGGTGATGATGGTGGGTGATGGTGGTGATGATGGTGATGATGGTGGTGATGGTGGTGATGATGGTGATGATGGTTGGTGGTGGTGGTGATGATGGTGATGATGGTGATGATGGTGGTGGTGGTGATGGTGGTGATGATGGTGGTGGTGGTGTGGTGATGATGGTGATGATGGTGATGATGGTGGTGGTGGTGCTGATGGTGATGATGGTGATGATGGTGGTGGTGGTTGCTGATGGTGGTGATGATGGTGGTGGTGATGGTGGTGGCGGTGATGGTGGTGGCGGTGATGGTGGTGGTGATGGTGGTGGCGGGTGATGGTGGTGATGGTGGTGATGCTGGTGATGGTGGTTGAGGTTGAGGTGGAGGTGGTGGTGGTGATGGTTGTGGTGGTGGTGGTGATGGTGGTGGTGGAGGTGGTGGTGATGGTGGTGGTGGAGGTGGTGGTGATGGTGGTGGTGGTGATGATGGTGGTTATGGTGGTGATGGTGGTGATGGTGGTGGTGGTGGTGATGGTGGTGGTGATGGTGGTTGAGGTGGTGAGGGTTGTAAAGGTGGTGATGGTGGTGATGATGGTGTTGGTGATGGTTGTGGAGGTGGTGCTGGTTGTGGAGGGTGGTGATGGTGGTGGTGATGGTGGTGGAGATGGTGGTGATGGTGGTGGTGGTGATGGTGGTGGTGATGGTGATGATGGTGGTGGTGGTGATGGTGGTGATGATGGTGATGATGGTGGTGGTGGTGGTGGTGATGATGGTGATGATGGTGATGATGGTGGTGGTGGTGATGATGGTGATGATGGTGATGATGGTGGTGGTGGTGATGATGGTGGATGATGGTGATGGTGGTGGTGCTGATGGTGGTGATGATGGTGATGGTGGTGGCGGTGATGGTGGTGGCGGTGATGGTGGTGGCGATGGTGGTGGCGGCGATGGTGGTGGCGGTGATGGTGGTGGTGATGGTGGTGGTGATGGTGGTGGGGTGATGGTGGTGGCGGTGATGGTGGTGATGGTGGTGATGCTGGTGATGGTGGTTGAGGTGGAGGTGGTGGTGGTGGTGGTGGTGATGGTGGTGGTGGTGGTGATGGTGGTGGTGGAGGTGGTGGTGATGGTGGTGGTGGTGATGATGGTGGTTATGGTGGTGATGGTGGTGATGGTGGTCGTGGTGGTGATGGTGGTGGTGATGGTGGTTGAGGTGGTGAGGGTTGTAAAGGTGGTGATGGTGGTGATGATGGTGGTGGTGATGGTTGTGGAGGTGGTGATGGTTGTGGAGGTGGTGATGGTGGTGGTGATGGTGGTGGAGATGGTGGTGATGGTGGTGGTGGTGATGGTGATGGTTGTGGAGGTGGTGATGGTTGTAGTGGTGGTGATGGTGGTGGTGATGGTGGTGGTAGTGATGATGGTGGTTATGGTGGTGGTGATGGTGGTGATGGTGGTGGTGATGGTGGTGGTGGTTGAGGTGGTGATGGTTGTAAAGGTGGTTATGGTCGTGGTGATGGTGGTGGTGATGGTCGTGGAGTTGGTGATTGTAATAGTGGAGGTGATGGTGGTGGTGATAGTGGTTGTGGTGGTGATGATGATGGTGGTTCGAGGTGGTGGTGGTCGTGGTGGTGCATTCACTACCTTAACAGTACTCGCTCTGTCTCTCTCTCCCCATCCCTCCTCATCTCGCCCCATCTCTCTCCCCGTGTCTCTCTCCACCGTGTCTCTCTCCACCGTGTCTCTCACTCTCCACCTTGTCTTTCTCCCCGTGTCTCTCCCCGTGTCTCTCCCCCCGTGTCTCTCCCCGTATCTCTCTGTACGTAATGTGCATACACAGCACCACGTACAGTGTGCACTGTGCACACAGCACCACGTACAGTGTGCACTGTGCACACAGCAGCACGTACAGTGTGCACACAGCACCACGTACAGTGTGCACTGTGTACACACAGCAGCACGTACAGTGTGCACTGTGCACACAGCAGCACGTACAGTGTGCACTGTGTACACACAGCAGCACGTACAGTGTGCACTGTGCACACAGCAGCACGTACAGTGTGCACACAGCACCACGTACAGTGTGCACTGTGCACACAGCAGCACGTACAGTGTGCACTGTGTACACACAGCAGCACGTACAGTGTGCACTGTGTACACACAGCAGCACGTACAGTGTGCACTGTGTACACACAGCAGCACGTACAGTGTGCACTGTGTACACACAGCAGCACGTACAGTGTGCACTGTACACACAGCAGCACGTACAGTGTGCACTGTGTACACACAGCAGCACGTACAGTGTGCACGGTGCGTGCGGTACAGTTTCAGTGTGCGCGGTAAGTCACTATTGTGCATGCAATATAGCCTCACAGAAGCAGGTGGAGGAGGTGGTGAGCGTGGTGGTGGTGAGGGTGGTGGTGGTGGTGGTGATGGTGGTGGAGGTGGTGGTGATGGTGGTGATGATGATGGTGGGGGGTGGAGGTGGTGATGGTGGTGGTGATGGTTGTGGTTGTGGAGGTGGTGATGGTGGTGGTGGTTGAGGTGGTGGTGGTTGTGGTGGAGGTGGTGGTTGTGGTGGAGGTGGTGATGGTGGTGATGGTGATGATGGTGATGGTGGTGATGGTGGTGATGGTGGTGGGTTTCGTGACTGCAGGGATTCATCTTCTTGGTTCATTCGGTAAAGTCACGTAGAAGGGAAGTAATAAAATAATAAAAATAAAACATAATAAAACAATTCTCACGACGTTTCGGCCACAACGCAAGCAGCCGTCCTCAGGTGAAAACCAGGTCTGTCGAGGCGACAGCGTCTGAGGACGGCTGCTTGCGTTGTGGCCGAAACGTCGTGAGAATTATTTTATTATGTTTTATTTTTATTATTTTATTATTTCCATTCTACGTGACTTTACCGAAAGAACCAAGAATATGAATACTTGCAGTCACGAAAGTTTCAAATCTAGAATTAGTGAAGCCCTGTTGATGATCCCCAGCGAACAGCCCATGGGTAGCGCCCAGCCTCATTCTAGATTTAAAGCTTTGGTGACTGCAATGAGTCGTACTCTCTGGTTTTTTCGGTAAAGTCACGTAGGTGAGAAATCTAAATTAATCAAAGTAATATAAAAATATAATTTACTTGATACAGCAATCGTGCTGTGACGGTTCCACCTGAAGACGGAAGCTTGTGTTGCCTCCGAAACGTCGTGATATTTTAAAATTCGTTGGGGGGATGCAGACGCCTGCGATGGATTTTTATTGATAAATTATCGACGATGACGACCCGCTAGGGATGTGATCTCACCACTTGTGAGAGAAAACGTGAGGTAAGGAGTGTCCTCTAACGTCCAGTCCGTGATTTGCAGATGATTTGCAGGTGCAGTGTTGAGTCTATGGGGCAGTGTTGAGTCTATGGGCAGTGTTGAGTCTATGGTGCAGTGTTGAGTCTATGGGCAGTGTTGAGTCTATGGTGCAGTGTTGAGTCTATGGTGCAGTGTTGAGTCTATGGGCAGTGCTGAGTCTATGGTGCAGTGTTGAGTCTATGGGCAGTGTTGAGTCTATGGGCAGTGTTGAGTCTATGGTGCAGTGTTGAGTCTGTAGGGGTGTTAAAGAGAGGGCCCGTTATGCATGGCAGCCTATGGAAAACAAACACAGTGGGCGGGGCTACGTAAGTACACGAGGAGGTGCCCTCTACGACGTCCGAGCCAGACACCCTGGGGGGGGCTGGTTCGAACGTTATGATCCCCCGGGGCCCCACCCCTCAGGGAGGGGTTGGG